GCCGCACTCGGACGCTTCTGTGCGAAACTTGCTGGGAGAACTGATGGTTGCAAAAACTGTTTTGGGTAAGACTGCTTACGCAGAGTTGGAGACCAGGAAAGGGTTCCACTACGGGCCCCACTACCTCACTGCTGATGCCGCCATGAAGCCAATCAGCACCACCATGTACGATTGGCCGCACATATATTTCATCACTGGGCTTTTCGAGTACGATCTCGATGAATTTATGCACAAGGCCAAGGCGGCTGCGGGGAGGAACAAAAAGGGCCTGGTGGAATACACAGACCTGCACGCGTACATGCAGCAGTGGACGTGGCCTCGGGAGTACAAGAGAACGGCTGAAATCTTCGAGACCAACAAGCTGGCCGCCACTGCGAGCGAGCAGCTGTCAGCGACACCAGTCGTACAGAGGTACTTCTCCAACGTGGTTGCAAAGGAGGAGAGCCTTGCCGCCCTCCACGGTGCAGCGGAATCAGTTTCGCTCTGTTGTGAGAGCATAGAGATGCTGCAATGCGCATCGCGCAAACAGGTGTCCGCGGTCCAGCTGCATGATTGCATCATGAAGCACTTGCATAAGTTTCGCGACGTGCACGGGCGAGGGCCCTGGCAATTCAAGCACCACCAGGCTGCTCATCTCGGTCCGCAGTACCGAGATTTCGGTTGCCTTTTCGACACGTTCGTCACCGAGCGAAGGCATAAGGACCCGAAAAAGTTCGCAATGAACCGCCAGTCGAGAGGCATATACTACACCAGGGGTCTCATGGAGGAGCTGTGCTGCCAACATTTTGCAGACCTTAAACAATTCTCGACGCACGTAAGCGGCAACTGGAGTGCGTTGCCGAAGGCGTTGCGCATGCCAGTGGGGGAAATGTTTCCGCGCGCAGCCAATATCGAGATATCTGGCACTTTCGTTGCCGAATCGGGCGCGAAGTTTAGCAATTTGGATGTCGTCCTGCTTGGTGGCGACAGGCGCCGACAGTGCGGGGAAATCTGGTATCATTTCTGCGTTGACGGCACTTACTGGACGTGCATCTCCATGTGGGAGTTTAGAAGAGCAGACGGCCGATATGCTAAATATAAGCGGGCTGAAAAGCCAACCCTAGTCTTGTCTAACGAGTTGCTGGCCCACGGAATTTGGCGATCAGGCGCCGACGGGGCTGTTACAGTTATATGGCCGCTGCATTATATGTTTGCATGCGGTTTGATGTAAGTCGATGCGCTCTCACGCTCTGTGCCTCGTGAGATCCCCAACCGCACCACCACAAACGACGAGCCCAGAAAATCTTCAAATCCGTATGGTATATTCGGTTCCCGAGCAATTATGTTATCATCGGCGCACACAACATCGAAGTGTGAATCCAATCAGCCCGTTTCCTTTTCCAACGAGGTTTGCCTTCCCTGCGTCTGGGCGGGCTTACCTGCGAGGAGTTAGAACGTCCTTGATGGCTCGAGATGGCTCCAAGACGGCCTCAGAGAGCCCGAGCTTCCAATATGGCCAAATATACTTCAAGGTGGCTCGAGATAGCATCCGACACGAACCAATACGGTTTCAAGTGCCCTCCAACCCCCCGCGTTCAAACCCACAGAGGCCAAATTTGCACCAACACCAAAGCAAAACAAATGTTTTTTTGTGTGTTCGCTTTTTCGCTTCCGATGGGCTCTTGAGGCGTCAAGATGACCCCGAGATGGCCCAAGGGGCCCCAAGAGGGCCCCAATGGCGTCCAAGAGCGCGAGAGCGCCTTTTTTGGAAGCTCCTAGGGGTGGGTGGGTGGAATTAAGCCCCCCTCTTTTTGAACAATGGTGGCCACTGCTCCAAGAGGTCCCCTATGCCACCAAAAAGAATTTAAGATCCCCCCCAAGACCTTCCAAACGAGCACCACATGGCCCGAAGATCCCAATACCTCCGAGAAAACGCTTCCTAGGCGGTTGTTACGCTGCCTGATTTCACTACCACCGTCAGCACCTGCATCAATAGCAGCATCACTACAACCACCAGCAAGAGCACTTGGCAGCAGCGGTAGCACCAGCAACACCGCCACCACCGTCAGCAGCAGCACCAGCAGCAGCACCTAGCAGCAGCAGCAGCAACAGCACTAGCACTATCAGCAGCACCAACATCACCACCATTAGCAGCAAATGCATTAGCAGCAGCACCAGCAGCACCAGCAGCACGATAACCATCGCCAGCATCAGCCAGCACCAGCAGCACCAGCAGCAGCAGCAGCACCACCACCACCACCAACAGCAACACCAGCACCATCAGCAGCACCACAGCAGCGCCAGCAGCATCACGAGAACCAGCAACACCAGCAGCACCCGCAGCAAAACTACCAGAAGCAGCAGCACCACCAGCACCCACAGCACCACCAGCGGCAATGACACCAGCAGCAGCGCCAGCAACACCTGCCCAGCAGCAGCAGCACCACCAGCACCAGCACCAGCAGCAGCGCCAGCAGCACGAGAATCAGCAACACCAGCAGTAGCACCAGCAGCAGCAGCAGTGCCAGCAGCAGCAGCAACAGCACCAGCAGCAGCACCCGCACCCTTCGCTACCAGAGATCTCCCCAATTCAACAGTAGTGCCCGCGCTGTTTCACTATGGATGGGCTGGTGGGGATACGCGAAGTGTCAAGAATTTCGTTTAAGTTAGCATTGAAATTATAGGCGCGAACAACAGAAACAGAAATTTGATCAGGTTAACATCATGCGCACGAATGTAATTACAACCTGCGAAAATCTTGTTCCGAACATGGAAATATACGAATCCAAATTGCATGCTGAAAAAATCGACCTCCGAACATGGAACTCACAGAAAGCATGTTAGCAAAATCGCAAACAGTTTGGAACCAAAACCATTGAAATTTAGAACCCACGGGCTACTTACGGGCTACTTACGGGCTACTTACGCGGCTACTTACGGACTACTTACGGGCTACTTACGGGCTACTTACGGGCTACTTACGGGCTACTTATAAGTTACTTATAAGTTACTTATAAGTAGGCCGTAAGTTCATAAGTTACTTATAACTAGCATAAGTACTTATAAGTACCCCCGCCGCGCGCAGTTCGGGCCCTCGGGGGCCGAAATATATGATCGCGGGCTCCGGGCCCACGGCCCCCCCCACCCCCCCAGATGGGATGGGGGGGAGGAGGAGGAGGAGGAGGAGGAGGAGGAGGAGGAGGATGGAGGAGGAGGAGGGAGGAGGAGGAGGAGGAGGAGGAGGAGGAGGAGGAGGAGGAGGAGGAGAGGAGGAGAGGAGGAGGAGGAGGAGGAGGAGGAGGAGGAGGTGAGGAGGAGAGGAGGAGGAGGAGGAGGAGGAGGAGGAGAAGGAGGACGACGCCGACGGCGACGACGACGACGACGAAGACACCGCCCGCTCCGGCTCCCTGAAACACCGGAACACAACGCCACACCCAGAAGGAGGCGACGACGGTGAAGACACCGTCGACGACGATGTTTCTTTTCCTCATCCCCCCATCCGCCTCTCCATCCCTCCCTCCTCTCCCTCCTCGTCCTTGGCCCTCTCTTCCCTACCTTGATCCCCATTCCCACAGGGGGCCGCCCACGCCCACAGGGGGGGGGACCATCGCGCGGGGGGGGGGGCCCGATGGCATTAGCATAAGGGGGGAGGGCCCAACCCCGCGACCATATATCGATATCCACCGCCCGCTGGGGCACCAGGACGTCGGTTCCCAGGCGGTGGATATGGATAAATCCCCGCCTCGCAAGTTTTGTTGCAAACGTCTTGCGCCGGAGAATTGTATTGCATCGTGTTGCAAGTCATGTGTTGCACGCGAAAATACAGCAGTACATCTGCGCCCTACTGCACGCCCACGGCCCCCCCCCCCGCAAAAATCTATTGCACCGAATCCATTGCACCACCCCCTTGTCGCTGGACCCCCTTTGAGGTCAACCCGATCTCTGGCCCTACGTGGGGGACAGGGTGCGGTTTTCCTCGTGGTTGTGCGCGTCCGCCCTAAAAAGCTGAAAACCTTTTGCTCTCGAGGGATCTGGCGCCAACCGCAAAGGTCTCCAAATCTGGGCGGCTTCTCCCAGAGCGTGGTTGCTCTGGTTGCCCGTGGTGTTCCCGGTCCCGCCGATCCGTGAATTCCAGGTCTGGGTTGGCAAGTCTAGGTGTCATCAGACGGGATGACGGGTTTGGCCTGGCAGCTCTGGGTTTCGCCGGAGTGGATTCCGGGTTTCACCCGGAATGGCATTCCGGGGTTCGCCTCGAAACCATTCGGGGTTCGCTTGCCGGCCGTCGCACGTCTCGCAAGGCCCACAGCCCACAGAGGTCCCCCAGGTCGCACAGGTCCCACAACTTTCCCTTTTTCCGATTGCGCATAGCACGACAAAGGGGGGTCTATTGTGGAGTTCCAGGTCGGCTAAGGCGCGTCGGCGGATAGAGAGAAAATCAGCGCAGTGGGATGGGATGGAAGGGCGGGATCGCATGTCCGATATGGCGCTATTGCGCCTAGCTTGCCCTCCCCCCTTCTTCCTCCCTCCCCCATTCCTCCCCTCTACTCCACCCTCGTCCCTTCCTCTTCTCCACCCTCCTTCGCCTCGCCTTCTCCTCCCTCTCTCCGCCTCGCCCCCTTCCGAGAGTTTGTGGCTGGCGCGGCCTCGGAGCTTCTGTCGCAGAGCCAAACAAAAACATTTCGGGCCAGAGGGTGAAGACGCGGACGATGAGGAGACGGATGAGGAAGGTAATTCATAGGGTCAACATGAAAAGAGTGGGATGGGGTCCTTCTCCTTCACTCACCCCCGGCCCCGCTCCTCCTCCTCCTCCTCCTCCTCCGCCTTCTTCTCTTCCTCCTCCTCCTCCTCCTCCTCCTCCGCCTTCTTCTCTTCCTGCTCCGCCTCCTCCTCCTCCTCCTCCGCGTCCTCCTCCTCGTCCTCTTTCTTCCCCTCGTCGTCCTCCCCCTGTGTCCCTCTCCTCCCCGCCTCCCCCCCGGGGAGGAGGAGCATCGCCAGAGCAGCGGCGGCGCCCCCCCCCCCAG